GATCAACAGAGCAGTGGCACCAAGAGGATACAGCAGAGAATTGGAAACAACCGAGTTTGAAATCACTCTGCTATACACAGTAAAACTGCTCTATTTCAACACTATATTTATGGAAGAGACTGGGGACCAGTGGTAGTAATACAGGATCACATAGACACTGTGGGTTTGATTTTCAAAAGAAGTATGTTCATTGTTTAAAGTAAATTTTCACCTTGCACAGTGAATTTTCGCTTAGCTTAATGAATGGGATTAAGTAACCGGTAGGTGAAAATTCACTTTGTAAAGAAACACAATTCATTATAATGGACAATGATCATAAAAATGCTTTCCTTTAGTGTCCTAAAAGTAATGAATGATGAGAAGAAAATAAAAGACAATTAGAAGTATAAATCTGAAGGAACACCGTCATTCAAGTGTTATGATACAATGAGAAAAAGAAAATGGATTGGCAAAAATTCAAAATGAAAGCCAGGATTCTAAAGAAAGCACAAGAAGTCCTGGAAAATGTTCATTATATGAATGACAAACACAAAGACTTGAGAGTGTAAGTCCCACACAACAAATTGCACAACTGAACAGGTGATAGTTGGCAAGGAGGAGGCACATTTTCCATTATGTAAGCAAAGGATGTAAAAGCACAGGAAAGAAAAATCAAAGGCACTTGCAAGAAAAAGGGAATGTGAGAGTCTTTGTAGCTGCCATGGGTTCAATAATAAAAGTAAAAGTGCTTGCGAAGGCTGAAGGTTTTTTATCTTCATGCATTCCATATGTGAAGGTAAAAAACCTTCTGTGCGCAGCAGTGCCTCAATACTTACCTGAACCTCATCGTGATCCTGCGGTGTGAATAACAGCCTCGGCTGTCCCGGGTCTCTGCTTCCTCATTGGCTGAGACAGAAAGTGGGAGTCATTGGCTCCCACTGCTATCAATCACAGCCAATAAGCCAATGAGGAGAAGGGGGGGGCAAGCCATGACTTTGTGTGTGAATGGACACATGGAGCAGTGGGTGCCCCCATAGCAAGCTGCTCGTTGTGGGGGCACCAAACAGACAAGAGGAGCCAGTAGAGGCTGTAGGGGACCAGAGAAGAGGAGGATCCATTGCACACAGTAGGTAAATATAGACAGGTTTGTTATTTTACAACAAAAAAATTAACCTTTAGAATTGCTTCAATATTGTAGGTCAAATGCATTCAATAAAAAGGACAATATTGTTGAACAGTATTATGATAGCAGTGACACCATTGTAAATGCACCACAGTGGAATATTTTACAAAACAAATGTGTCCGAGATACATGAACCTGAGGACCTACACCCATGGCTTCTCAAAGAGCTAAGTTTGTTCATTTGTAATTTTAAAGGGCCAATTAAAGCCAAACTCCAGCCATACCTTCAGCTTTGTATGGTTGTACAGACTCCTCTCCTGTACTGAAATTGCTTAAAGTGGAACTTCACTCTCTCAATCAACATGAGCTATTTGTAATCTTTATGCTGCTAGCATTAGTAAATAGATAGGAAAGTGTATTATATTTACTTGTTTAAAACTTTTTTTTACATTTCTTAAATTATTTCTTGGCTTTTGTGCCTAGAGAAATGATCTCATACATCCCAGGAGTCTTCAGGAGAGTTCTCAGCTCAGTATATGCCTGAGCTGAGGGTAGATGGATTCCAGAAAGTAAATGATACATGAATCCTCTACTCAAGATGGCCATGGCCAGAAATGCCAGGGGGTGTTTTTCAAAGTGATTTCTCTGCAAAATAAAGCATGGAGACATGGATGGATTGGTGAGTTTGCTTTGATTATTAAAAATGAATTAAATAGCATTTTTGATTTGTGGTGCTCAGATGCAGGGCAGTTCCACTTTAATATAATCTCACTGTACACTGTGTGTTTCTGACAGTGTGCGATGGAAGCTGCAGCATGGTATCCAGCATCACCTAGTCATTTTCCTCTCAACGGATAGAGGGCGCACTGGCCTAGTGCATTATCGTAAAAAAATATTTATTAGAAGGATAAAAAGTAAGTAACGTACTCACAATTGATATACAGGTCAAAGGCACATCACACTAAACAGCGGTGTCCAATCCACACGGCATATAAGTCCATAAATGGAACCCTGGACTTCCAACAGACTAACGCGTTTCGAGGACTCAGCCTCTTCCTCAGAGTCATTCATTTTTTAGTCAAGGAGACTCAGCAATACATGTGAGTGTTATCTAAAGAAGTCAGCATGCAAATACAGTGTGCCAAGCAAGCCCACTCCTCCACACTGACATCTGCCTATCAGGGCATGATATAAACTGCTCTCAGGAGCCTGCACACTGCTTACATCAGGACTAGGGGCTAGAAATAAGTAATTGTGCCAGGATGGTTTTGAGGAAGCGATGTACAGGACCCTGCTGGCCCCTCACACAAGCCAATATCTGCCTGCATTGCATAGAGAAGCACAGAGACCTAGTATAAATACCAATGGGTCTAAAAGAAAGTATGTAATTAAAACAAACAGGTTCTATTTAAAAATGTAATTAGCATATTCATGGAGATGGGGGACCAGGGAAGCCAAAATATAGGCAGATTAAACTTTAGCTTTAAGGATAGAAACAAAAACAATTGATCAAGGTTACCACGCAGTAGTTACACAGTCGAAAGTACAGTGGGGCAAAAAAGTATTTAGTCAGCCACCAATTGTGCAAGTTCTCCCACTTAAAAAGATGAGAGAGGCCTGTAATTGGCATCATAGGTAGACCTCAACTATGAGAGACAAAATGAGAAAAAAAAAATCCAATCACATTGGCTGATTTGGAAAGAATTCATTTGCAAATTATGGTGGAAAATAAGTATTTGGTCAATATCAAAAGTTCATCTCAATACTTTGTTATATATCCTTTGTTGGCAATGACAGAGGTCAAATGTTTCCTGTAAGTCTTCACAAGGTTGCCACACACTGTTGCTGGTATGTTGGCCCATTCCTCCATGCAGATCTCCTCTAGAGAAGTGATGTTTTGGGGCTGTCGCTGGGCAACACAGACTTTCAACTCCCTCCAAAGGTTTTCTATGGGGTTGAGATCTGGAGACTGGCTGGGCCACTCAAGGACCTTGAAATGCTTCTTACGAAGCCACTCCTTCGTTGCCCGGGCGGTATGTTTGGGATCATTGTCATGTTGGAAGACCCAGCCACGTTTCATCATAAATGCCCTTGCTGATGGAAGGAGGTTTGCACTCAAAATCTCACGATACATGGCCCTATTCATTCTGTCCTGTACATGGATCAGTCGTCCTGGTCCCTTTGCGGAGAAACAGCCCCAAAGCATGATGTTGCCACCCCCATGCTTCACAGTAGGTATGGTGTTCTTTGGATGCAACTCAGCATTCTCTCTCCTTCAAACACAACGAGTTGTGTTTCTACCAAACAGTTCTATTTTGGTTTCATCTGACCATATGACATTCTGCCAATCCTCTTCTGGATCATCCAAATGCTCTCTATAGCAAACTTCAGACGGGCCCGGACATGTACTGGCTTAAGCAGGGGGACACGTCTGGCACTGCAGGATCTGAGTCCCTGGCGGCGTAGTGTGTTACTGATGGTAGCCTTTGTTACGTTGGTCCCAGCTCTCTGCAGGTCATTCATTAGGTCCCCCCGTGTGGTCCTGGGATTTTTGCTCACTGTTCTTGAGATCATTTTGACCCCACGGGGTGAGATCTTGCGTGGAGTTCCAGATCGAGGGAGATTATTAGTGGTCTTGTATGTCTTCCATTTTCTAATAATTGATTATTGATTTGTTCACACCAAGCTGCTTGCCTATTGCAGATTCAGTCTTCCCAGCCTGGTGCAGGTCTACAATTTTGTTTCTGGTGTCCTTTGACAGCTCTTTGGTCTTCACCATAGTGGAGTTTGGAGTGTGACTGTTTTAGGTTGTGGACAGATGTCTTTTATACTGATAAGTTCAAACAGGTACCATTGATACAGGTAATGAGTGCAGGACAGAAGAGCCTCTTAAAGAAGGTACAGGTCTGTGAGAGCCAGAAATCTTGGTTGTTTGTAGGTGACCAAATACTTATTTTCCACCATAATTTTGCACATAAAATCTTTCCAAATCAGCCAATGTGATTGTCTGGATTTGTTTTCTCATTTTGTCTCTCATAGTTGAGGTCTACCTATGATGCCAATTACAGGCCTCTCTCATCTTTTTAAGTGGGAAAACTTTCACAATTGGTGGCTGACTAAATACTTTTTTGCCCCACTGTATATATAAAGAGCTCAGAGTGACTTCAATATCCCCAATTCATCACTTCCTCAAAGATCGGTGAGAGGCAGAGTATGGATAAAATGCTCACTCACCGGATGCACAAAGGTATTGCTCAGTCTATAAATAAATGGAGGTCTGCCAATGGGTCCCTTTCAGGATGGAATCAGCCCGGGATGAATGGATAGCATCAGGATGAAATATTTAACCGGAGGTCCACTTTAACCGCTTGCCTACAGGGCACTTATACCCTCTTCCTGCCCAGGCCAATTTCCAGCTCTCAGCGCTGTCACACTTTGAATGACAATTGCGCGGTCATGCAACATTGTACCCATATGACATTTTTATCATTTTTTTTTTTTTTTTGTGACAGATAGAGCTTTCCTTTGGTGGTATTTAATCACCTCTGGGTTTTTTCTTTTTTCTTAAACAAACCAAAAACCGCTGAAAATTTTGAAAAAAAAATGTTTTTTCTTAGTTTTTGTTATAAAATTTTGTAAATAAGTGATTTTTCTCCTTCACTGATGTGCGCTAATGAGGCTGCACTGATGGACACTGATAGGTGGCACTGATGGGCACTGATGAGGAGGCACTGGTAGGTGGCACTGATGGGCATTGACAGGCATCACTGATGGGCACTAAAAGGCAGCACTGATATATGGCACTGATAGGCGACACTGGCACTGATAGGTGGCACTGACTGGCACTGTTAGGTGGCACTGACACTGTTAGGCGGCACTGACGGGCACTGATAGGCAGCACTGATGCACACTGATAGGCGGCACTGACTGGCACTGATAGGTGGCACTGATTGACAGCACTGATAGGTGGCACTGATTGGCAGCACTGATAGGTGGCACTGATAGGTGGCACTGACTGGCACTGATGGATGACACTGAAAGGCAGCTCAGATGGGCACTGATATGTGGCATTGATGTGGCACTGGCACGTGGCACTGTTTAGCACTGACAGCTGGCACTGATGGACACTGACTGGTGGCACTTCTGGGGCCACACTGATCATCAGGGCACACTGATCATCAGTGCCCTGATGATCAGTGTACATGTCCTTTCCGTGGAATGCCGATTACCGGCTCTCCTCTCCTCTCGAGCTGTCAGTGTGACAGCTCGAGAGGAAAGAAATGCCGATAATCGTCATTTCCCTGTTTACATGTGATCAGCTGTGATTGGACACAGCTGATTACATGACCGAGCCAACATCTTTGGCTCTTTCCATAGATCGGTGATCCGCTGTGTCCGAAGGACACAGCGCACTGCCGATCGCCACGCTGCACGCTCCCTGAGCCGTGCATGTGCGGTGAGAAAGGGAGGACATCATATGATGTCCTCCCAGAACAAGAGAACCACCTTGCGCTCGTCATTGGACTATATGGCGGGCGGGAGGTGGTTAAGGACACGGGTGCAGCCTCTTCAATGTAATGGGATAGTCACCAGGGGGAGCTCTAGGGGATTAAATGCTTGCAATCGTCAATGTCTGGAGAGTCCTGTCCGCCTGGGCCACCTCTGGGCAGGTTGGGGTTATATCCGCACACTTGTGGCATCCATCCCGGCGCTGTTTATTGGGAATGATTTGGGGAGACACAAAATTGAAGGCTTGTTAGCACATGGTAGCAGAGCAGGGCGGGACGAGCAGTAGGACCCGAGAGGATGGCCAGCCTGCAGGCAGCACTCATGAAGCTCTCTCCCTCTTAGTACAGGCTGGTTATGGCTGCACTGTGTCTCCTCAAATCATTCCCAATAAACAGCGCCGGGACTGTCAAGAGACAAGCCCTGTTTCTTAGAGCATCAGTTGCATCAGCATGTGTGTATGAGTATGGGCCACTGGCTTAGCATACCTGGTGTAGGAAGAGTTAGCTGCTATCCAGTGCTATACTGTGCTGAATTGTAGATTACAACAGGTTACTATAGACTGCAGTGTGGTGGGTTACGAATTCTTGTGTACATCCCTGTGTGCTCAGTTCAGAGACATAACAGTCCTTTTTAAGACTACCTTTTTGTGTGTGTCAGCAAAAAATAATTGCGGTCAATCTACTAGGCTCCTCTTGCAGTCTTTTTATTGTTCTTTTTTTCATTTTCATTTGGATTTTCGTTTATGCATATTTTTTTTATTTTCTGCCAAGTTAATATTTCAGGGTCTAATTTGGGTGGGAGAATATATAATTTTATTTTTCTATGGCCTTCTATCTATTTTATGTGCATTACATACTATTGTCTTTCAAATAATACACTCTAGTTTCTATTTCAAGTTAAACCCTGCCTTGTCTATCCCTCTTATATTGCAGCCTAACCAAGCTACTTACATACTATTCAGCAGCTGAACAATATTTGTGGCTATTGTGACTATTCAAGTGCTTGTTGACTGTCCTAATGCTAGCCAGTTTCTACCAAATATACAGTATACCTGTAATGTATATTTTGAATATTTGAGGAATAACTGGAGAAAAAAGGATGGAATGGGGTTCGGAGAATGTGGAGTTTGAGGTTTATGTGTTTTTTTTACTCTGTTTTGCCACTATAACACATTTTTAAAGGCAATTCAGTGCTCTACTGTGAAAAAAGCTCAGAAACTATGCTATTTAATTGCTTTGCCTGTGGACAATTTATACCGAGTTGATCACTTTAGCTTTATTTTTTAAAAGTAAACTTTTGCAAACTTTTGCAAAGCTATTAAATCTGTTGTGGCTACTTTCTCCAGTCTTCCAGTCAGTTCAAACATATTACATAAAAAAAAAAAATCAGGTGTTACAGCAAAAACTACACAAAGTTTTTCTTTAGTTGAAATAAATCATAGTGCACTGCTGCTGCATTTAAGGCAAGCTAAATGTAAAAAAATAAAGTATACATCCAAAACAAGTGATGCCTGAATTCAGTATCAATGACACTGTTCATGAAAATTGTAATTAAAAAAAAGATTACACTTTACCTTTTTAAATACAATTTGCAGTAAGGAAAAATACTACTGTCTGAAGGTGGATATCTCATCAGTTGTAATATTCTCTATAGTGAGCTATTGAGAAGTGCCTTCAGTCAGCCATGTCAGCCATGACACGTTCTCCTCAGAAACATCCTAAAGGTAAGAAAAATTATTATTTTAGGTTTGATGTGTAAATAGGAACAAACATACAGTATAATAGGGTTTTCTCAAATTTAACTACAAAGTGTAAATACAGTTTAACAATTTTACTGCCAACACCATATGTCTTATAAAGGTGATGGCAAAGGGGTTTTACATACAATCCACAAGCCGACTGTTGGCTTTCTAAAGCCATCCAGTAGCTGTGCAGCTGCCCAATTGTTTTCCCCCCAAAGTGTTGCCTCCCCCCCAGCGCATCCCCCATCTGCCATTCTTCCTGGGCACCACTGTCCCTCCTGTGAGCACAGGCTTGGCAGGCATCTCTGGATGGAGAAGTGAGAGGCCAATGAAAATCTGTTTGCTGATCTCACCTAGCTAGAATAAACCCAGGAGTGATGTGTAAATCATTACTTCTGGATTCTGTTAAAAATTTCCCTAGCCCTTATGGACAGGGAAGAAGCTAGTGAACTGCGATTTGCATTCCATTTAGCTTTATCAAGAGGCAGGTTAGACATCAGGGGTCTAAATACCCCTGATGTCTCATTAAAGAGAATCTATGTTAAAACACTATATCACATAGGGGTCTTTTTGTTCCCATGGGATATGAATAAAGTTTTAGTGAAAATAAAAAAAGATAATGTTACATCCAAGCACTTAACCCCCCCCAAAAAAAAATGTTTAGCCCATGCCGTCCCCAAGTATGCACATAAACAAACGTAAACCTCTGCCGAGGGCGCCTAGTCATAAAAATGTTGCTTGAAATACACTTAACATAACACTACGCACACTGTAGTGAGAGCAATAATTTTAGTGCCATTATGCGCAACTAGTTTTAAACTGATGACCTGTAGGGGATTATACAGCTTTGCCTCTGGAAAATATAGTATACAAAAGTTTGTCATTATTTTGCAGACAAGCAAATTCAAAGCTCCACATATATTGTGTTTTTGTGAACTAAAATCGACTTTAGTGTGTTTTTTTTACAAATATAGTGTGGCATAAAAAAATGAAACTACCATCATTTTATTCTCCAGGGCTTCTGCTCTTAGAAAATGTATATTTGGGGGGGGGGGGGTATTATCTAATCTTTCGGTATAAAATTTTAATAAAATTTTAAACGTGCAAAAACTGAATAAAATGGCTGTGGCAGTAAAAGGGTTAAATGCATGTTCCAAGCATGTAATATAAAGTATTGGTACTTTTTCCATGACACCCTCAAAAGAGCACTGAACGGAGAAATCTCTCCACTGCATGATATTGTAAATTTTTTTTTATTTTCTTCATTAAATGCCTCCAAATGGAAGTACCCAGTTCCCCGTGCCTTCTTTTTTGGCTTTGAAAATGGCCAGAATTATTATTATGATTTAGATTTGCCTCCCTAGACTGTCTGGGATCACTGTTGAGTTCGGGGTTCATGAGTTTTAAACAGAATATTACAAACACCCTTTGCAAATCAAATCTAGGCTATGGTACTAGCAAAAGAAACCAATGTATGATTGCTCCACTGCAGCTGATGATTGAAATGGCATTTTAGCCAACTCTCTTCATAATATCTTCAGGTTGGCAAACCCAGGATCACGAACTTCAACTACAAATTTCTAGAGGTCTTGTCCCACATACTGTGTAGCACTGACAAATAAAAAAACTGGATGGTACAGGACCTCCTAGCCTTTCAGCTGGTGATTTGGCCCCTAGGATCCCCCATACACTCACTTACCACTGACAACTGATGACAGACATCCAATTGAATTTTTTCAGACTTTTTTTGGCTCAGTGTCCAGGAGATAGAGAGTTAGTGGTTACAGGATACCCACAAGCATCAACATACAGTAAATTATCTCCACTCAGTAGTACATTGTAGCAAACATATCTTTAGCCCCTCCCAAAGGCTAATAGTGGACCGTTAAGCCAAGACCAACAATAGATTGAACAGAATTATTGGGAAGATTCTTCCTTTAGTAGCCAACTTCTGGTATTCCCGGGCCCTAGGAAAAGTCAACTTCCAATCTTTAGATCTTGCTCTGGAACTGTATCCTCCTCAGGAAGCAGTCCTGAGAGTCAAAGGACCTCTTCTCCTGGCAGGAGCCAAGGAGGCAAAGACCAGAATCCCTTACACCAGCATTGACTTCCAAATCTTTATCCCCTTCCCAGCTCACATCACTGACATAAACCTTTGTAGTGATGGGTTACGGGCATTCCAGTTTATGAAGGGGGATGCAAGAGATGTGGAAAGGGAGAAGGGAAATCTATAGCATTTGAACAAGGTATACCTCCAACCGCTTGTCTCAACACAAGAAAGCACAAATTTGAAAATAAACCCTTCACTTGAAAAATGAACCCTTAACAATCTAATTTCTTACAGATTGCCTCTTGTACTACAATATGTGTAAATTTTTAGAGAAGCATTTGAAAGTCCAGCAGCATGACTCTTTAAAATTAGAACAGTATTAATCACAATACTTGTACCAATTTTCAATTACATTTCTTGGTGGAAGGTGGGATACAAATGCCTTGGAATTATAACTGTAGACATTCCACAATATAAAATATGTTGACAAGCTCAACATTTCACACAGCATTATAATCAGATATTTGCATTGTAGTCTCTAGCAGTTATTTGTAAAGTAAATAAAGTGGAATCTTGCAGTAGCAGCAGCGAGCAAGTTGACTACGTGTTAGCTTGATGTGAGGTACTGGCTGACTAATTAGACTGACTGAACACGACAACATACAAGACATTCTGTTCCACAGGGTATGCATTTAATTATTTTTATTCCTTTTTAAATATATAATTATAATGAATAATTTTATTCACTGTGAGTTTTGCTTTGAAGAGAATACTTGTTATGAAATTTTAGATTATTTGCACTCTGCTGTAATAAAGTAATTATTTACTTTTACAGATGTTAGTAATTAGGATGTAAATAAATATTTAAGAGATTTTCTTTTTTTATGATAGCATTGCTTGTTTTTATTACTAAGGAAATAAAGAAATAAATTAGCGTAAAGCTCATTATGATCATGTAGACTATGATGTATTAGAAGGTGAGGTTTTACCATTTTATTATAATCAAGGTACAGTTCTAACCCAATCTTAAACTCACTGGACCATTTATTTTGTAATCGATTAGCTTGGAAGTTTTTATAATTATTATTATTATTATTATTATTGTAAATGGT